CCCTTCCGACCCTAGAAACTATGAAACTATGAACTGTGAACCTCTCCTTCAAAATCACTTCCAACTCCTATTATTGCTAATGAAGTTAATATAAGTGAGATGAGCACCTTTACCAAGTATATCTTCACTTGGAAGTGATGCTGCCCCATATAAAAGTAACTGCCATGTCCCATGGTTTTCAGTGAGCCAATGTGGCAGGCATGGTATCTTTTGAGTATTGGACAGGATATAGGGAAGAGCTGAGACCTAGAGAAGGTACACATTGAGAGTCAAGTAAAGTAGGCTACTAAAATGTCAGAGGTGGATTTACTGCTTATGATAAAGTATAACAAGTTAGAAGGAAATTAATGAAACAGTTTAGGAGGAAAACAGTTAAGAGGACAGTAACAGGGAAAGCAATGGAAGGGTACATACTCTATGGTAGCAGAGGGGAAGTGGAGTCCTGTCAAAGCAGGACACGTGGTTTTATGCATATTAAGACTAGGTTTAGACTCCTAAAAGATCACATAAGATTTTTTAGGGCAGGGAAGATTGCTGTGGGTAGCAAGTTGTTTCATCTAAGGAAAGAAAATAGAAGATTCAGAAATAGATTCTTTTGGACCACATCAGATCTTTTTCAGCACATCTTTTGAGTTTTGGAGGTCTCTCCTGATTTCTGAGCATGTAGGGTTAGCAAGCCTGTACATTTTTAAGACCAGAGGGAAGATTCTGAGCATCTAGTCTGGCTTCTTGAAAAAAAGGCTGCTAACATCCAACTGGATTTGAAGACTTCCAGTAATGGAGACTTTACCACCTCCTTCAGCAAGTTATTCCAGTGGTTAATTACTTCCATTGTTAAGCAATTTTGCCCCAGTTCTAGTCTGAATTTACTTCACTCTTCTTGGATATCGGCATGCTTTTTTGTTACATCTGTCTACTATTGAAGATACTTTCTCTATAACATAATTTGTAAACAATAATCAAACAATTTCATATCGTTTTCTTGGTTAAAGTAAATAGATTGATTTTACTAAGTCTCTCATTCTAAGCCAGGTTTTCTAGATCTTGAATCATTTTGCCACTGGCAGCAATATAGCCAGGATTTTACTCACAGAGTAACTTCAGTTTAAATTATAGGCATTATATGAAACCAACTTAGACTTATTCCCACTAAGTTTCCTATGAATCTGTGTTTGTACAATTCTTATTTTTAACAGAACTTAGCAATCAAAAGGAAAAACTTTGAAGTTTATTATTAATACCAGATGTTACATTTTTAAACACCAAAATTGTTTTGTAGTACCCTATTTGTTAAAAATTCCAAATATCAAATAGCTGGACAAAATAAATAAATAAATAAAAAGAAAACGATACAAAAATAGCTTGGATAACATTCCATAGAAAAACTGAAACACTTAAATTAAGTTATTTACCAAAAATTATGTTGGTGACTATGGAGTGCTTATCAAAAGCCAGGTAAGTAAATCATGTAATATTATAATCTTATAAGACCTTACATTTTGCATTTTAATTATTTTTAAACAGATATTGTCAGTTTTATGGCCTAAAATAAACAATATAACCCCGTATAACAGAAAAAATAAATGAGAGATCAGAAAAGAGTAATAAGGATATTGAATGGAAGTATTTCCTCTCATTGGAATTCTTTTTATGACTTGTAAATTGCTAGAAAACAAGATAGACTTTTCTTTCATACAGTTTGGGGCACTGAGTTTTTATGTTATTTGTATCAAGAGGGTTGCTGCTCACAGGGGACACAGAAGAGTTTTATGAGGCCCACCCTTTAGCTGGAGCTCTCCAAAGCTAAAAGGAACCTATAACTTCATCCAAAGAACCAAATTCCATAAATGGGCTTACAGCAGCCATGCTTTAGAGACAAAGAGACCTGTTATACATATTTCTCCATGAGTTATACTTGGAGGGGGAATATTTTTAAATACAATTGAAAAAGCACTTTTTGCAATGAATAAACTTATACTAGAACTAAATGGAATCTTCTTTTAATGAACCCCAGTGCCTTTTAGTAATAAGGTATAATTTTCATCATATATGGGTCCAAGTTTGACTCCTCATATTTTTTTTTCTGTTCTATCTGATTTGCATGGTCTGATTTGCTTGCAATAATCAGAACTTTATACCTATAAACAAGTAAGTGGTCTAAAACTGAATACAAATGCTATAATACATCTCCTAATAACCACACTGTCCAGAGAACTGTGTTTATTTTTATTGTTCCTAGAACTTGCATTTATAACCAGTTGTTTAAGCTTTATAAATAATTTCCACATAAAACTTTTCTATTAATTTTGGACAAGCCATGAAATCTACTGTTTGTGCTATGACCAACCATGAAATCAAGCCACTTTGTCCATAATTTACTTTGGGTTTTGAAAGTAATAATATTGGAGACATCATAGTAAATTATGTGATATAAATGCAACACTACACTATAATATGCATGGTGTATGTACTAATGCAACCATTAAACAGAATAGTGTTGCTGCAATATTAATGTATTTTAGATTATAGCAAGCAAAACTAATACACATTAGGTTAGATCATTTTCCTTCAGTAATTACTAGAATACTGCATTGTCTATAAGGAACTGCCATCCACATTCAAAAAACATAAGTAACAACATCTATCTAGTATTTCAGAATTGTAAGAACACAGCTGGTCTCTCTGAAGACTAAGCTCCTGTTGAGCAGTACTGCACATTTCATGAACACTAGAGATTTAAGTTTCACGGTTTTGGTCCCTTCAACCACTTGTAGATGGTAACATAAGTGACATTAGTGACATGAGAAACTATTACAGAAATGAATCATAGAATCATAGAATCACTGAGTCGGAAGGGACCTAGACAGATCATCTAGTCCGACCCCCTGCCATGGGCAGGAAGGAGCGCTGGGGGTGGTAGGAGTCATAAGACCCCAGCCAGGTGCCTATCCAGTCTCCTCTTGAAGATTTCCAGGGAAGGTGAGAGCACCACCTCTCTGGGAAGCCTATT